TCCTCTTCTTCTTCTCTCTCTCTCTCTCTCTCTCTCTCTCTCTCTCTCTCTCTCTCTCGCCTGAAACATAGGAAGGAATCTTTATTTAAGGATGATGACCGCGGATGATAAAAATTGAGGAAATTGCAATCGATGAATGAGAAAGAAAACACGTGAACGATAGTGCCTCTAGATACGAAAGTTCGTTGTTATCTTTGAAATATTATAATAAAATCTTTATATCCGGGAGAAATAACACTCTTGACAATATTTTCGATTATCGCCGATCCGATAAATTCGATCGAAATTCAATCAAACTCGAACGCTTCAACGCGCACATTTGTGCCTATGTGTATCGCGGGAAAGGAAAAAGCAATGGTAATCTTCGCGTTACCAGTTGACGAAATATTACAATTGTAATCACGATTATTACGATCGATAATTAAGATTCTGATGATTATTATCTTTATTGCTATTATTACTTATACTACTACTATTATTACTATTATTATTATTACTATTATTATTATTATTATTATTGTTGTTGTTGTTATTATTATCGTTATCGTTACCAGAATCATTGCCGCGATTTCTTATATTATCGGTGCTAAATATAGAGGATCGCGAGCGATTTATCTGCAAGGACACGGACAAGAAAATTCGCACAACTACTACTATATTGTAACGAATGATGATAATGATAATAATACTGTGTTACGTTGAAAGAAATAATAATATACGTTATAATTCTACACGATTCGACCGGCTTTTACTTCTTCGCCCTTTCTTCTTCCGTTCCATCCCCCCGTTCCATCGAACTCTGGAGGATCTCTACGTAAGATTATTAAAAATTTAATCAAACGAAAGCCTAACCGCTTATTCTCGACGAAATTCAAAACGAACGAGTAGTTTCACCCTTTTTTAAACCACGTTTTCACACGCTACATTCGACGTAGAGATATTCCGCTTGGTCATCGCTCGGATTCGGTGGAAAAACCGAGGCCTCTGCGTTTGGGAAGTAGGAATAACGCGCCGACCTGATTCGGGGTCGAAGCTCCAATTTTTACGGGCAGAGTCGGAAGGGGGCAGGGGGCGACGGTAGCCATGACGACGTGACGTAACATCCACGTCATCGACAAAGCGCAACGACCCGGCCGTACGTTTCTCGCCGGCTGGATGATCGGTGGCTGAATGGGATGATACGGTTGCGAATTTTCGATTCGTTCCGATCGATTCGTCGCTCTTCCCTTTCCTTTTTCTTTTCTTTTTTCTTTTTTTTTTCTTTTTTCCACCGTCGAAAAATTCTTCTTGGCGAAGAAAGAGGTGGAGGAGGAGGAGGGGAAACTCGGTGTACATAATTAACGCGTACAATACACGCGCGCTACAAACACGACGTATGGGATGAATCGCGGATACGATGCGTGTACGAGGAGGGATGCGGCTGCGATGCGGGCTTTTTTCAATCGCGAAATTGGGACGCGTTGTCGACGGCCTTCTCAATGACGCCGGTGACGTCACTAATTTGGAAGGAGAACTGGGGCAAACGGAGCGGAGAAAAAGGAACTGCCCCGATCGTCTACCCTCCCCTCCCCTCCCCTCCCCCCTTTCTCCTATCCTATCTCCAATTTTTTTCTTTCCTCGAGCCAAGATTCGATCGCGACCTCGCTCGTTCCTTCTCTCGCGCGATCGCGTTTAGAAGAAGGAAAGAAAGAGAGAAAAAGAGGGTATCGTTGCGAGAAGATAATCGTCGCGATCCTTGAATGAACTATGGTATTTTGTATGGATGACACTAGCACTGATCTGGGTCAGAGAAGGGTCGTGAATGGCGTCGCTCGCTCGATGACGTCACGGGGTGCAAACCCCTGCAACTGGGTCACTCGTTGATTCTGTCATGGCCGTAGTTATAAACGGACCAGGGTCGTCCTTCCACGTTTTCCACGCCTTTTCGCGTGGAAACGTGTTCCGGCAACGAGCACACGGGATAAATACTGCCGATTTCCTTCTCACCCCGCAAAATCTTCAGCGTCGAAGCGACCCCGAATCGGTCTCTGCTTCGATCGAAGCATTTTTGAATGGATGGGAAGATAGGGTGTTAATATCGTTATATCGAATGGAATGGAATAAAATGGAAAGTGAAGTGAAATAGGAAAAAAATGAGTCGTATTTAGGGGAGGAGGAAGGCGACAAATGACAATCGTCGTTTGAATGAAAAACGTTTATTTGAAACGTAAACTACAAATAGTATCGACATAGGTAATACTTAATATAAAACATTCAGTCCTGAGATTATGCAAATTTCTCTTTATGCATCCTTTTTTTTTCTTCTTTTTTTTTCTCTCCCACATTTTTATCATTCTCCCACATTTCTCCCCGGCCTTCGTGTTTTGGCGCAAGGATCGATCGCGCATACGCGAATTCGAATTCGTATATTAGGTGTATATTACTTCCCCGTCGCGAGATATCATTTTTTTTTTTTACTCCCGATATTTGTGCCGATTCGTTTTCGCGATATACACGCGATAGATATTTACAAGGCACTGAAAGATCGCGTATACATACGTTCGTCACGTGAAATGAGAAGTTTTTCGAGGGAAAAAGTTTCCGAGAAAAAAGATTTTTCCTTCGGTTTTTTTGCTCTCCGTTTTTTCGATTCGGTCGCAACCGGTCGATGGCGGCTAAAAAACGAGGTCGAACGCCGGCTATCTGCTCCCTTTTTTTCTTTTTCGCAGCGATTAACGAAACGCCAGCGATCTTGCGAAAGAATAAACTTCCAGAACTCGTTCACTTCGTGTGCGGACCGGCGACGTAACAAAACGGTCTCGAAACTCCGACCGGTTGCTGCCAACGCGAAAATCGCGATACCGTTTTTTGTTTTTTAATGCGAATTGATATGTTTTAAAAGTACACCCTTTAACGGACAATTGATTAATTCCAATCTATCGGAAATGATTCATGATCATCGAACGTTTTTAAAACGATAAAGATTAAAGGCGAGATCGCGAGCATTTTTTTTCGTAATGTTTCGTTTCTTTCGTTCTTTTTCTTTTTTTTTTTTTTTTTTCTACTCTTGAGCTTCCTTTCGTCCAACATTCCTCAAACAGAGAAGGCATCGCGCGATCTCGACGTTCGTTCGTTTAATTGACTCGTATATATCGCGATAACCGGCTAAAAAACATTATTTCGAAATAGAAGCGCGATTGAAATTATATATTGCGAATTCGACAAAGAATATTCACGTATATATAATGTGTATAAGAATGATCGTCGATCGATCGATACATATCCTCGATCCTATCCTCTTCTCTGAATGACGAATTCGTATTTAAACGTAATTGGTATCGCTTGTATACATGTTTTTCTTTTTTTCTTTATCGTGTGTGTGTGTGTGTGTGTGTGTGTGTACTAATCGTTTTGCACTACAAAAGATACATACATACGTTGCACGGCTACGTTGCTCGTCTACGGTGATCTATCTTGCTTACGTAATAAGAGACCAACAATTTAAAATCGTAGGTACGTCGACGCACCTTCTACGAATACGAATACGAATGCAACTTCCCTCTTGCGCTCTTCTTCAATCCCATCGACGAAAAGTAATCGCGACGAGAAGGGAAGAATGCGTTTTTTTCTTTTTTTTTTTTTTTTTTTTTCTTTTTTCGGATCCGCAAACTTCTCGAACGTGTTTGCCAAAAAAGCAAAACACGTTGTACAATAAAAAAGAATACATCGTCGCTACGAGTTTGCGAATTTTCTTCGATCGGTCACGATCATTTTTTTCTTCTTCCTCCTCCCCCCCCCTCCTTTTTCTTCTTCTTCTTTTTCTTCTTCTTCTCCTTTTAATCATCTATCATATATATGTATATATATTTTTCAACCCAATCGTTTTGGTCATTTTGATTTAAAAAGAAATGACGGAAAGAACCACGATCGAAAAATAGTAGAAACGGAAGATAGATAGATAGATAGATAGATAGATAGACAATCAAAGGATAGAATCGCGCGGATAATTCTTTCGTAAGAAATGGTCCAAGAGTGGTGGAACGTGACAAAGAGACAGAGAAAGAGAGAGACAGAGAGAGAGAGAGAGAATTCTCGATTGCGGAGAATCTCGTTTCGGCCCCTCTTATCGGTATATACCGACGGAATTCTGACAGGAGCAGGGCATTGCCAGTTGCTGGGCCACGTTCCTCGGGACCCTCTGGGTGGGCAGGCCGGAAAGGCCCTTCACGTACGTGTAGGCGACGGGGCTGCGTAGTATCCGTTTCGAGCTCTTTTTCGCGTGCTTGTTCTCCTTCCCCTCCCACTTGGCGGATATCTTGAAGGTTTGAAGGGCCCTTCGAAGCGCGTCCGCTGTGCTCGACCTCTTCAACGAGTCGCTGTCGGTGCTGCTGTGCGCGTCCGACGGCGAGGACGAGTAGGAGAGCGACTCGGACGTCGTCCTCCCGACACCTCTCACGTCACCTGCGCTCCACGAGCGGGATGACTTGGCGCGTACACGCGCCGAGCTTCTTTGCACGGAGGAGAGCCTCTCCTGGGAGCGGATCGGCCGGCCCCGCAGCCGGTCCAGGTAGCAGTGGGTCCTCGACAACCGGGCGGCGCGGCACAATCGCTCGCTGCTTCCGCGACGCGACAATCTCTCCGCGCTCCCGCTGCTCCCCCCGCTGCTGCACCCGCTGTCCGTGCTGCACTCGTCGTCGCCGAACTCTTGCTTCGACGATCTCGCCTGGCCCCCGCTTGGGCTCGCTCTCCGCTTCCCGTCCACCTTCTCGTTCTCCCGCCGACGATCGGTCAGCCTCGTCGTATCCTCCATTTCCGGTTTTCGACGCCGGTAAATCGGGGTCGAGAACGGACAGAAAATCTTCTTCGCGAGTTTTTCTCTTCCTCCTTGTTTTCTTTGTTTTCTTTTTTTTTATATCAAAAGCTTGGGGATACACGCGCTCCTTTCGATTCGAACACTTTGTTTTTCTTCACCTTTGTGTTCACACTTTGGAGTAATTGTTTTATATGTGTGTGTATATATATATATATATATATACGTACAGGAGAGGGAAAAACTCGATCCTCGATTCTTGTGATTCTTCCTCTTGTTTTTCTTTTCTTCTTTATTGTAGTTTTCTTCCCTTTGGGAAGGGATGGTATGTGATATTCGATACGGTTACACGCAAACACACGGTTGTTAATTGCGTTGCGTTGATTTTCGTGCGCGTGATTTGTGCACACTCTCGAGGGCGGACTGAGACTTGGAGATTCGCGGTCTTCTCTTATATACTGTCGCGGATTTGCGGAGGGTGCGCGCATGTCCTCTCCATCACGTGAGGGCTCGACTCGGTATCTGCGAGGACATCGCGGTATGCGGACGGAAGCGGTTTCTCCACCGATGCTCCCCAACCCCGTTCAAACATTTTTTTCACCCCCTTGTCTCTTCCTTCACTTTAAAATCTTTCCGACCATTCACACGTATCCCGTTATTTGGCGATAATAGATATCGATATCGGTTGATAAATCGGTTATTCGAGCCGATCACCGCCATTTTCTTATAAATCTTGCTACCACCTTCGTTAATCCAATCACGCATCTCGTTATTCTTACAATAATAAATATCGATATAAAAATCGGTTGATAAATCGGTTATTCGAACAATGTATTATTCACCGATCGCCGCCATTTTCTTTAAATCTTGCTACCACCTTCGTTAATCCAATCAGACATCTCGTTATTTTACAATAGTAAATATCGATATAAAAATCGGTTGATAAATCGGTTATTCGAACAATGTATGATTCACCGATCGCCGCCATTTTCTTATAAATCTTGCTACAACCTTCGTTAATCCAATCACGCATCTCGTTATTTTTACAATAATAAATATCGATAATAACCGGTTAAATAAATCTCTCCTTCGATCGGTATCAATGGCATGAATCGATTTTTCGACGGTGCCGCCCCATTCACCGATCGCCGCCATTTTCTTTATTTTTAAAATCTCGCTATTTTACAAATAATAAATATCGATATCGGTTGATAAATCGGTTAGATAAAACTTTCCTTCCGAATTGGTCGATCGGTATCGGCATGGCATGGATGGAATCGATTTTGCATCGTAGCTTCGATCGTGAAACAAATTCGTTAAAATTTGACGAACCGGTAGCTGATAGAGTGGCGAACGAACGGCGAAGATAATAGGTGGATAAGGGTGGTAATGAGGACGGTGTACAAGTATTGTATCGCGTCTAGAAGCGGAAAGAGAAAGAGAGAGAGAGAGAGAAAGAGGGGTCGGTGAACTCTGGACGGGACGATCGATGCCAAGGGGTGGATGTACCATGCAGGCAGATCGCATTGTCGCCAGCGCTAGATGCACCCGCGCAATAATCAATAATTTCGTAAATAACGACGAGGAGCGAATAGGGGATGGTGGACACGGGAGCGATTTTTTTCGCCCATCGAATCGCGTGTAATACACAAAATATATATCGAAACAACAATCGAAAATAATCGCACGTTAAATCGTGTTGTCTATCAATTTCTAACGGAACGTAATCTAACGATTTGACGTAACGCTTTGAAGTTCGTTTTAATAGCCGTTACGGCCGGTTATAGATCTTTCTCCATCTGGCAAAGTTGTTTTCGTGCACAACGTGCGTAACGTGCATTGACGTGCACGGCCGCGGAAATTTTCACCCATGATCTCGATATTATTACGCTAACACACGTATCACAATACAGGGAATATTATTATGCGAAACACGTTGCAATCTGGAAACGCAACGCGACGTGACATGTAAGCGGTCGTCCGTGTTTTATTAATTTAACCGCGCGGCGGGATCGACATAACGATATTATCGAATTAGATTTTAATCGAAAAATATGCCCACGTTTAAATTTCTGACGTTCTGTGTAAATTCGCAGGGGAGGGGGGGGGGAGAGATAGTAGGTAGCAACCGGCATATAGCAGTATTCATCCCTTTGCATCGCGTACAACATTGCGAGGACATTGCATTTACGTAACGATCCGGTATTATTGTTGTTGGTTGCATACAATTTACTTGTTGTTTCGTAAAAGATAGAAAGAAAGAAAGAAAGAAAAGAAAAAAAAAAAAAACAAAAGTCTGCTCAATGGCCTTGCTCGATCTCCCCCATTTCTCTCCCCGATGTCATCGATGTCGAATTTCTGTCCCGAACTCTTTGATTCGTAACGTGTCGTCGTAATACAACAGCATTGTACTTTGTCGAGGATAAAATTAGAATCGGTTCTGTTGCCCGTTTTCAACCCGTATCCCGACGTCCAATATTCCAATTTAGAATTTGGATGGAATATCATCGGCGAATTCTTCTCTTTACGTATTCGTTCGAGTGGAATTAGATCGATTTCGAACAGGCGTTTACGCACGCACACACGCAGTTGTATACAAGTGAGATAAGAAGCGAGCGATCGGAAAAAAAAAAAAAAAGACGACGCGCGCAATTCGCGTGACGATATTACTTCAAACACACGGACGATGTAACAATAAACAAAACAATACTTTTCATCTATACCGTGTCAAATCGATCCCACACGCGTATGTTTGTGTTTTATAAGCGTGTGTCTATAGCGTTCACGAACACGTACACATATTTATATAACATAAGTGGGTAGAAAACGATTATTCGGAGTGCGATCATTCCTACGTCCATTCTTATTACATAATTGGATTTGTGGAGTAACGACGAGTCGCGTAACTAATTCGACGCGAGATGGATCCCCCCTAACGAATAGATAAACAATCGTGTAATAGATGAAACCGCGTCGAAGAAGAAATAAAAGAGAAAAAAAAGAAGGAACATGTTTTTGCGTTCAAATGATTTTATTGCGATCTAAAAAAGTACAAAAAAAAAAAAAATGGACGAAAAAGATTGGACATATACATCGCAAGGAAAGTACAGAGACGATTTTGTTGATTTTTCCTTTCCTTCCTTTCGAATGAAAATGCGAAACGATCGATCTTATTTCGATCCGATCCTCGTAGAAACACCTTACGTCTCCTCGTATTAGATCACGTAGCTTTTGTAAAGGTAGGAAGCGGCAGGCGCGTAGCCAAGCGAGATGGACGCCGGGTAGTTGGAGTAGAGTAGAGGCGAGCCGACGTTGGAGATGACGGGTGATGGCAATGGAGCGGCCGGCAGCGGGGCGGCGGAGAGCAGAGCGGCCGGCGCGAGCGGTGTCGGCGCTGGGGCGGCCGACGCAACGGCCAACAATCCGGCGAGCAACAGCTGCGCTCGAAACAAGATTCGAATTAGAGAATCTCCACGCTTCTTCTCCTTACCTTAGCTTACGCGTGGCGAACTGTGATAATCTCGCACTCACCGTTTTCAACATGCTTGTTTTCGAAGCGCACGGGACGATTACGGCTGGATCGGCGAGGAGACGCCGCTTATATAGGGCGAAACGAAGATTCCCTCGTCTTTCCTTCGCATCCCCTACCTTTTGCCTTTGCGTCTCTCTCGTTCCTGTGCGCGCAACACAGCAGCCGAGCAGGGAAGAGGATTCTTCTTCTTGTTGTTGGTGGATCGAATCTTTTTTTCGAAACCGCTCGACCAATCCACTCTCCTCCCCCTGGAACTTCTCTTCTCTTTCCGAGCAACGATTTCCCAGCGACCAACTTATCCTACTCAAGGTTGCGTAGGGATTCAGGCATCGCGTCCCAACAATGCAGGCGTCATTTCCTTCTTTTTCAGGCCTCCCCGTTCGAGCAACTTTTTCCCCGCGAACAGGTTTTCCCCGTTCGACCGCCGCGCCACCGCCGTCGTCCTTGCGAACTTCAAGAAATACGATTTACGATCAAAATATCGTTTAACGATGTCTTTGTCCAAAGCGTACAAAGAATCCTGAACAGGCTTTCAACTACTCGATCCAAATGATCCAACGCCCGCGGATTGTTTATCCGTGTATACGTATATTCGACTTTCAGTTTTCTTCGGGCGAAAGTGGAAGCGAACGAAAAGAAAAGGGAAGGGATACGAAATAGTTTCTCTGCTTCGAAAATTGGTTACAAATTAATAACGAGAAGAACGTGTTACATTCCCCCGAATCGTCGAGACACACCTTTGCCTTAAAAAGAAACCGGGCGTTCGCCGATCCCGACGAACTTGAACTTGAGAAAAAAAGCGTCTGTTTGTTGCCTCGTTGGAGTTGTGCAGCCTTGTGGCGACTCGAGATAAAGATGGAAAGTGCGAGACGACTTAGGAGGAGACGTTTAGCGACTAGATCCGGTATAGATAGGCGTGAAAAAAGAGACGATCGTATTTTTTTTTCTCCTTCTTTCTTTCATTCGTCCGAATTAAAAAACTAAATCTATCTACAGATCGCGACGAAATCGGGACGAATTGCAGGCGACGAAGAAAAGAGAAAAAAACAGAAGAAAGATTAAGATTCGACGATGAAAAATTAAACGAAAATACTTACTGCTTATGATGCATCAGTGTGGGAAGCGCACAACGATCCGTGTAATTACTCGACCGACGTTATAACCTTGTTATACGTTCCGTCGAAACGATTATACAATTGCCCGCCTTTACGTAATATCACGATACCCGTGCAAGTGTCCGCCCTGTGCTTTTCTTTCGATCAAGGTCATCGAAATCGATCGATCGCGTTTGTTGTTGCGAGTGATGGCTCGCGAGCAGTTTGAAAATACTGGACGGACGGATACTGGGGAGAGGGGAGAAGTGAGGCGCGTGAAAACGCGACGCTTCGAGTCCAGCATTCGAAATGCCAACTCGAGGGGGAGAGGGACTTTCGCAAACAAACCGCGCATCGCACTTTTCGTAAGCGAACCTCCCCCGATCGCTCCACCTGTCCGATTCGTATAAAGCGAGGACGCTTCCACGACCTCATCACTCGTCGCTCAACAGCCGAATCGAACAAAGCAAGCTCGAAAAATGATCAGGACAGTGGTGAGTGGTCGAAAATAATTTCTTCTTACTACGAAACTCTATCCCATCGACATTCTGTATTAATCTCCCTCGATTTTTCAGTGCCTAGTTCTCCTCGTGGCGGCCGTCGCCTCAGCCGGACTGCTCCCTGCCGCCCCCTTGGCCGTGGCCCCGGCGGTGGCCGCTGTTCCAGCGCCCATCGTCACTGCTAGAAGCAGCCAAGTCGTAGCCAGGAATTACAACACGTTGGCCGCTGCGCCGCTCGCGGCCGCTCTGCCCGCCGCCGTCGCCGCACCATTGCCGCCCGCTTACCCGCCCCTCGCCGTCGCCGCGGCTCCCCTTCACGCGGCACCGCTCCCATACGCAGCGCTCAACTATCCCGCTGTTGCCATATAATCCCTCTGAACACGACCTGTTGCTTCTTAAGTTTCTTGTTTTTATGAATAAATTGCAAATTTGAAACGAACGGCCATTCTTCGCTTCTTCCTTCTCCTTTCTCTATATTTCAGTTTTAACAAAAAAAAAAAAAATTAGAGTAGAAATAGAATGTTTAATGAAGTAGAGATATCTTAATAGAGATAAATTCGAGTCGAAAGTTACAAGTTTGAACGAGTAAGAGAATCGTTCGAATGAAGTTAGTTTTAGATAATATTCGCAATTTTGCCCGATATATTCTTATTCGTTTGCATAATTTAATTCTTCCAAGATTTTCTATATTCATAAAAGTAGAAATTTATTATATATGCGCATCTAAAAAAATATATATATATTTTTCCATCATTATTATTTATGGAATAAACAATTTTTAAGTTATCTAACGATATTGTTCGTTGTTTTAAAAAAAAATGTTCACGTTTTTCCTACGCGTGTTGCTGTGTGTTCCTTCTTTTCCAAATCATTTCCAAAAGATTAATGATACTCGAACGAGAAAATTAGATTTCTCTCTCTCTCTCTCTCTCTCTCT